TTAATTACAATATATTTATAATTATAATTAAAAAGCAATACTTTGTTAATTTGAACGCATAATAGGCTTTAGGTTTTCTGTATTCAAAGTCCTGTAAATACCAAACGCGAGAAAACTCGTTGTTTCTAATGATTTGAGGCTCTGTTTGATTGTTGTCTTCAATTGGTTTGACGTTTAGATTATAGGGAATGAAGTCATTGGGCGGCGGAAGTGCTAACCGATCGTTGAGTCCAATATTTAGCCACAATTTAGTCTTCTCCGGAGGAATGTCTTGAAATGAGTATTTGGTTCCATACCATCGCTCCGTTTGATCCGCTATTGACTCATACTTTTTGCCCACAACTCTCACTCGCATGCGATCTGCGTTTAACTCGTTGAGCACTTCTGTGGTCAGCTCTGGTTTGTATTCATCCATACGATAAGACACACGCAATACGTCTTCAATTGGGTATAACTTTTTATACACAAAAAACATACAGAAAATACAATAATTAATAAAACCGTTTATCACATAATAATAAACAATTCAATTATCAATACCAGTAAAGTGTGGACCAAATGCTGGACATAACTGATTGGTTGGGACTTCTCTTCGCACTGGAAATTAATTTCCAACATTTGTTTCAATTCGTTGTAAACCCATTGTTTGGGTCCTTCACTCTAATGAACAAAAGCAGACAATAATCACAATTAAAAGTAATCTAGGTTAAAAACAATGTATGAAATTCGTATAAATACATAACATACCGGTCTCGCTACTACAGAAGCCACACTAGCTGTGGGAGAAGCCAGTTTAGCTGCCATTAGAACTTTTTCAGCTTGGGGACCACTAGTGACGGCGGCCCACCGGCCGACAAATACGTGCACCAATTCCTGGCCTTCAGCTCCGATAACAAACTGCCCCGACCTTCGTGTCCGATAACGTGTCCCAAATAGCGGTACGGCTTTGACCTGTGGTTTTGGTAGTAGTTTTTTGTTTAGTTTTTAAGTTTTGTTACTTTTGTAGTTAAGTTTTAAGCGCTGCTCACCTGTAATGGTCGGACATGTCTGGCGTGGGAAACACTAGTGTAAGTGTGCGAAGATCTTTGACGGGAACCACAAAACACTGTTTCTGCAGCCAATCGGCGGTCAATGGGTTTGTCTGCCATTTGGGAAGAGTTACTCCACTCTTGTGTTTAATCACTGAAAACAACGGAATCACTATTTCTTCCAATTCTTTGATGCTTTCTGTGATTAAAATAAAGTTTTTTTTTAAATAAATAATTAATTGTTTATTGTTTTGCAAACCTTTGCCCAAAACAACTAAAGACATGATATTTGCTGAATACCAGCGATCGTGAAATGACAGCAACTCTTGCCTAACGTTAGTCCCATTCTTCAACGGAATCAGTTTAAGTGACTCTATATTACCTATTAATACAAACAACAAAAAATTATTTAATCACAAGTTTTGAGCTAAAAAATAACAGTAAAAGTGATGGCAAACAAAATACCGGTCGAAAACTTATTGTAGTCGTGGTTGGGATCCGATAGAGTCTTATCCAAGTGGTAGTTACGCCACGCATCCGATGACAGCCCCCTCTCGTACTCCGATTGGACGGCATTTATCTCCCGATCGGTTGCACTCTCTGTGAAGAGCGGCTCAACGAAGAACTGCGAGAATCTATTCATTCAATTAGAAATTAACACAAGTTTTATAATTACAAGTATTTAACATATGCTCACAACTGATCCATACCTGTCAAGAGCTCCCGAGAGATAATCAGTAGAGATGTCAAAGATATACGTGGTATTAGTGCCGGCAGTGAATGCGTTACAATAGCCACCATTACTAGTGATATACTTGTGGTAATCGTCGTCATCGGGGTATTTCTTAGTGCCTAAGAAGAGCATATGTTCACAATTCACTCGGTTAGGGACCTGTAGGGCCCCTAGTGAGTATCTCGGCTGCGGTTGTCACTCTCGCCGGCGTGAGAATAGCCAGAGAGATAGCGATTATTCGTTATGAAAGTCTGGTAAACAATTATGCTTTGCCTTATAATCGCGTTTATCATCGTTTGGCTTAACTATACTCTCATAGCTTTCGGCCACCGAATCGTTGGTCGCATTCAAAGCACTCATCGTTTTAACAGTGAATCGCCGGTGAGTTCTTGTGGTAACACTTGTTATGCAGTGATTATTGTGAACAGTGTATAGACTTTTAATTAGTTTATAGTTAATACTGTATATCACATAAGAAAATGGGATTTAAAATTTAAATTGTAAATTAATTTATTAATTCAATTTTGTAAATTGTTAGAACGTGTTAATTATATAATTAATTAATTTAATTCACCGTGAAAATAACTTCATTATTTTATCATTACGGTCAATTATTAATAATAATTTATTATCACATTTAAAAATAATTTAATTAATAAAAATGAACACATCACCTGTATCAAATAATTCACTTGTGATTAGTTAACTATAGTTATATAGTTATTATTAAAATTGCTTAATCACTGTCACACACTATTATACTTAATTAATTGCAAATAAAACACTAAATTATGTTTAATCACAAAATAAATACAATACTTATGATAGAGAAAATACAAACAACTGTTTTTGATTAACATGTACACAATTTGGTACACAAATTACGTTATTTGATTCAAGAAACTTTGCAATATTTTAACAAGTTTGGAATGTAACAAGGTGATATTTTAATTTCTATTAATTATATCTAGTCTATTAATTTACTTATTTTTAATTTTTATAATATATCAACATTTCTAAAGTATATTTTTAATTAAAATAATTTATATCTAGTAAAACATCTTTGATTTTAATAACAATAATTATAAACATTATCATAATTTTTATTATTTAATTTATGCCATGATACCATGCTAATACTTATACAGTATGTACTAACAATTTATTATCTATATAATGCTTATTAATATGATGGTAAATCTCTAATTAAGTGCCTAATTAAGGTTCAGTACACTTTAGTGCGGTAGGTCTAAAGATTATTAGTACCTATTATCTAATTTATTACTTTGAGTTTAATATAAATACACTTTCTAAAAGTAATATACTTTTGTAAAACTAATAACCAAATACTGTTAAACCTTGGATCTTAGACCTAGTCGGGACCGGAGAAATGACTCTAAGATAGAAGGATTCTAAGATAGCAAAATCTAACTATTTCCCGTTTTTACCGACTATAAGATTCCATCTTCACATTTTTAGCGACTTTAAGATTCTATCTTCCTATTTAGATTCTATTTTCCCTTTTAGACAGACTTTAAGATTCTAATTTCCCTTTTAAATAGATAGAAAATACAAATAATGACGTTATTTTTGTCATTTTTGGTAACTCTAAGATAAGAGGCACATACGGACCTATTGGGAGGGTCTGTTACTGAGATTTCAGATTCCATCTTTCAGATTCTATACTCCCTTAAATTGTAATCCGAAGATACTTCACTTAGCCCTGAAATTCAAACTGAGATTCTATCCGTTTTTAGATTCTAGCTTGGATCTAAGTTACGAAGTTTAACAGTAATATTAAACTAATTTTTAATTATTAAACTTTTTATTCGGTTAATTATAACTACAAATTATTGCAAATTTTTTGTTAAAAATTTCAATGAATTTTGACTTAATTATAAAATAATATAATAATTATAATTCAATAGCAAAGACATCGATCATAGGTTTGGGCCGAGAATAGCGACCGAATTGTGCTTTAAATGCGGTTATGTTTTCAATTCGTGTCCATTCCTATAGATTTTGTTTAAAAATAAATAAATTGCATTTTAATTAAAAATAATATAATTAAATTTAATAATAAATAATATGTTTAGTAATAAATGTTTAGTAAATTTACCGGTATTTTAGACGGTTTCGGCATATCATCGGTGTTAACATCTTTCCCATCCTTTTCATTGATTGGATTATCAGTTACTATACTGACAGTCAGTTTGCGGCGATCGGGGGAGTCGTGGGACAGATGTTTCTGTTTTGCGATTGAAAAAAATTGTTTAAATAAATATAAAATTTTTAGTTTATTTTTCGTCAAACCTTTAAGAAGTCAATGATATTTTGTTTTGTGAGTTCTTTAATAGCCTTCACTTCAATCTCCTGTCGATTGAAATTAATTTCTTTAGACATTATTTCACAATAAAATTTTGAGTGTTTTTCCCAAAAATTTTTTGATTTCACGAGTTTTCTAGTAATCAATGCCTGTCTTTGAGTCTCGAAATCAGTTTCATTCATATCTTCAATATATTTGTGAATCCATTGGATGTAAGCCTCGATTCTCTCGTTTAGAAAACTCGGCTTATAATCGGATTCAATGAGAAAATTCATGCCTAATATTTGTGAGAAATTATATTTCAATATAATAATAAATTTTATATACTGTATAAATTATTTTTAAGTGGAAGTTATAATCATATTTACGGACCACAAACTCCATTATCACCTCCAATGTATGCCCGGACAACATAACCCAATTGCTGTTTAGTACGTAATTTGTCAGAAAATGGTTGTTTTAAAATTTGCTGTAAGAGTCCTAACAATCCATTAGTTTTTGTATCTCTGACTCCGATTTGATAATAGATTTTAATGCCATTTGTTTTATGCAATGAAGTCTTGGATTCAAACACATAATCGGATCCTTCAGTCAAATGGATCTCACGATTCAAGAAGTGTTGCGAAAAAGCGATGGGTTTAGTCTTGAGCTGAGACTTGAATTTGTGTTCAAATGCATCGCAAACATCGATGGCTTCACTTTTGAGTACATTTCCATAGATAAAGGCCTCGATATGAAAACGGGATAGAAATTGATCCTTAAATTGGGAAACATTACTGACAGTCAAGTCATCGACAGTTTGTATGAGCTCTTCATCAGTCCAGACGCGGTCAGCCGTTATATCGTACATATGGTTTGATAGTAATTGATTCATAGTATTAGCATGGCGATTTTTCAGATTACGTACGTATATCTCTTTAAACACTACAAACTTCTTGTCATCAATTTTGAATGCAACCAATTGATCCATTATAGTGACAATTAACTTGCTCAATTTGTCGTTATAGCCGCAAAAATAAAACTAAAAAAATTATTAATAACATTTAATACAATATATTTAATTAAATTCTAACCGTTATTCCAGTCAATCCCAACCGTAGGCTAAAGTAAAGTCCGGCCAATTTTGCCGCATATAAGTACTCATTGACTGAATCCCAGAATAATCGGGTGAACAGTTCGGCAGTGTTTTTATTAAATGGATTGTCGGATACGAGTGGACTATAATTATTACAATTATTATTAATTTAATAAATAATTATTAAAACTATTACTTCGTTAATCTGAAACTATAATAGCCTTTCGGTTGTTTGAATTCAGTTTCTTGTAAATACCAAACGCGAGAAAATTCTGTGTTTCTAATGATTTGAGGCTCTGTTTGATTGTTGTCTTCAATTGGTTTGACGTTTAGATTATAGGGAATGAAGTCATTGGGCGGCGGAAGTGCTAAACGATCGTTGAGTCCTATGTTTAACCACAACTGAATCTTCTCCGGAGGAATGTCTTGGAGTGAGTATTTGGTTCCAAACCATCGCTCCGTCCGATCGGCGATTGACTCAAACTGTTTGCCCACAACTCTCACTCGCATCCGATCGGCGCTCAACTCATTGAGCGATTGTGTGATCAGTTCTGGTTTGTACTCATCCATCAGATAAGACAAACTCAAAACATCTTCAATGGGGTATAACTTTTAAGTGATCAGAAAAAATTAAATAATAAACAAAATCACATAAAGAATACAATAATTAAAAGTATTTAAAAAAAGAAATACCAATAATGTTGTGACCAAATTTTGTACATAACTATATGGTTGTGATTTGTCTTTAAACTGGAAACCAATTTCAAGCATTTGTTTGATTTCATCGCAAATCCATTGTTTGATTCCTTCAGTCTTATAACGGAAATAAAAAAAACAAAATCATAAATCAAATGTAAATATAAGTACTTTATGCATATTACTTTGAGCATGGCGATATACTGAAATATTAAACCAATAATATCGTCCGTGTGGTTCATACCATCTTCAGTTAAATCTACATTTATATTAAAAAAGTCAAACCCAAAGCCACGGCCACCGGTGTGACCGGCGGACAAAGAGGTGCACCAGTTGTTGGCCTTCAGCTCCGACAGCAAACTGCCCCGACCTTCGTGTCCGATAACGTGTCCCAAATACCGGTACGGCTTTGACCTGTAGTTTTGACCATTGTTTATGTTTTAATATATTTGTTTGGTTTCGCTGTTAATTATAATCTATGGTTACCTGTAATGCGCGGACATATCTGTTATGGGAAACGATAATTTAAGAGAGCGGTAGTCTTTGATGGGAACTACAAAACACTGTTTCTGCAGCCAATCGGCGGTCAATGGGTTTGTCTGCCATTTGGGAAGAGTTACTCCACTCTTGTGTTTAATCACTGAAAACAACGGAATCACTATTTCTTCCAATTCTTTAATGCTTTCTGTAATTAAAGCAAAGTTGTTAAAAAAATAATTAATTGTTTGTTTAATTTTAATGCAAACCTTTGCCCAAAACAACTAAAGACATGATATTTGCTGAATACCAGCGATCGTGAAATGATATCAACTCTTGTCTAACGTTAGTCCCATTCTTCAAAGGAATCTCTTTAAGTGACTCTATATTACCTATTAATACAAACCATAAAAATTTATTATAAACAATACATGATCTAAATTAAAATACAAGTGATGCTAAAATACCAATTGAAAACTTATTGTAGTCGTGGTTGGGATCCGATAGTGTCTTATCCAAGTGATAGTTACGCCAACTATCCATTGATAGATCTCTCTCGTACTCCGATTGGACGGCATTTATCTCCCGATCGGTCGCACTCTCTGTGAAAAGCGGCTCAACGAAGAACTGCGAGAATCTATTTGTTTAAGTAGTTTTACAATATACAGAAAAACCTTGTATCTTGAAATGGTCGGGTCCTGGCAAATGACTTCAAGATAGAAGGATTTCAAGTTAGAAAAAATTCAAGTTACAATGTTAGACATGAGTAAATTTTCAAGTTAGGAGTTTATTGTTTATATTAGATGTAAAAATAGTGAAAATATATTGAAAACTTCTCATATTTTGAATTATATATTGATTTTATGCATTTAAACCTAAATATGTCCAGTAATTATGTTGATTATACACTTTTTTTTGTCAATTTTTTCATTTAAATGACGTAATTTTTTAAACTTCAAGATAGGAGTATATACAATAGCAATTGAAACCCAGAAAATTACTTCAAGTTACAAGATAGAAGGTTCAAGATAGGAGGGAATTTAACATTGCGTTTCTATGGAATGAATCGGGACTCAGTGTTTAGCTTCAAGATAGGTAGAAATTCAAGATGGAAGGCTTCAAGATACAAGGGTTAACTGTATTTTAATAAAAATTAATCATATGTTTTTACAATCAAACATTATCCCATTGTAATCATACCTGTCGAGAGCTCCCGAGAGATAATTGGTAGAGATATCAAAGATATACGTGGTATTAGTGTTAGCCGTAAATGCATTACGATAACCGCCGTTACTGTTGATATATTTGTTGTAATCATTGTCATCGGGGTATTTCCTGGTGCCCAAGAAGAGCATATGCTCTGCAAAGTGAGCCAATCCCTGGACATCCCGGGGATCACTCATAGAGCCGACGCCTGTCGTGAGAGCGGCCGCACTCTTATCGGTCTCTCTATCGCTAATAAGCAATACTTTCAGACCATTTGTTAATACGATTGCCTTATAATCGCGTTTATCATCGTTTGGCTTAACTATACTCTCATAGCTTTCGGCGATTAAATCATTGCTTCCATTCAAAGAACTCATTGTTTTTCAATTTTAAGCTAAAATTATGAATAAATTTTTTAATTACGCATAATTCTATTTAAAGTGTTTTATGGCAAATAATGTTCAAAATTTTTTAAATTATATAACAACAATATGAATGATTGTTAGATTGAGTATTATATTAGAAATTTAATTGTAAGTAATTTATTTAGATGTTATTTAACACATATATCACTTAATTCATATACATGTATATTTTTACTTAATTAATTGTAATAATTGTAATTAATATTAGGTTTAAAACATATATGACATATAAGGGAAGCAAAGGATACAATCGTTAAACGGAAGACAATACGTAAAGTATAACGAAATTATATTAAATTATAATAAAAGTCATACCAAGAATCACAATTTGTTTGTGTTTTTAATCATCTAAACTTTAAATCATATTTTAATTAAAATCACCTTATTTTCAATTAAACACAAACACTAAGTTCATTAGTTGTGTAATTAAATAAACTCAAATGTTATATTTTAAACTTATTTAAATTTGTAAATTCATTAAACAATTAAATGATTTTGTTTTTTAATATTACAAACACTTTGCATAAATTTATTATTTTATACAGTATTTATACAGTATTTATGATCAATAAATCAAATGTTTCATGTAATACCGTATTATATTTTCTTATGTATTGCTATTTCTATGAGCTTTTCATATCTTTATTCAATAATCATTTTAATTGAATAACACTTTTTGTCTCAAAAGTGCTTTACTTTTCTTATCAATAATTTATTCTTTGATTAAATGAATAAAATTATTTTTAATCATAATTTTATTAATAGTTTTGATTCAAAACTTTTGAAATCTCAGAAAACACAAAATTCATATTGTTTTTTAACCATAATGTTTTGAACACAACATTAATTATTTTCTATGCCCTTGGTAACTATTATAAAGATACTTTACATAACAGAAACGCAAGTTTAACGTTTTGATTGTTCATTTATAATGAATTTCATAAAATTATTCCGGTTATCTCATTATATACTGCGATTAATTAATGCAAACTGATATACAGTGTAGTTATGATAAACAATATTAACTGTTTATATTTGTATGATAGATTAATGTAAATGTTAAAATACAAATGTCAAAACAATATAATTTTCAAATGAATTTACAGTGTAGATGTGTAATATTGCAACAACCATTTATTGATGTAATGAGTAATAAACAACAGTTGGGAAACTTTGTTAGGATTTCTGTTGGTGGAGAACTTGGTGTTTGTGGTATATTTATTAATTTATTATAATTATATTAATTCATTATTTCTAAAAAAAATTATATAAATTAATAATAACAGGATAAAATTAATTATAGGTATCGAATGGCTCATTGAATCGGATTATAGCCCAAGTTTTCTAAACGAGAGAATCGAGGCTTACATCCAATGGATTCACAAATATATTGAAGACATGAATGAAACAGATTTTGAGACTCAAAGACAGGCTTTGATTACTAGAAAACTTGTGAAACCGATGAATATTTACACAAAATTTAAGAAAATTTTGAATGAAATTGAATCAAAAGAATCTAATTTTAATCGACAGGAGATTGAAGTGAACGCTATTAAAGAGACCACAAAACAAGATATCATTCACTTCTTTAAGGTATTGTTTATTTGATTAAATTTTTTGTATTTTATATTTAATGTTCATGGTTTGCCAAGTTTGAAGAATATCTTCCAGGAAAATAGTTTTGCTCCGGAAAATACTTTATTATTCCCTAAAATTGGGAATATAAGACAAAAATGTGGTCAAACAGTGACCAATCAATGTATATAAATACTTTTAACTTAATGAATAGATGTATCCTAATATACTTAAACATAATATAACAAAAAATTTTGCTAAATCTAATGAATTAATTTAATTTAAATTAATTTGTAAATTATTTTCTCAACTTTTGAAACTTGCACTCATATATATAAAACAAAATGCGGACTAATAAGGCCGACCGCTAATGCCACCAGGGTAATAAACGGATCCTGGTGCGCTAATGCGTCGGCTTTAAATAAATTAAAAATATAAATAATTAAATTCAATTAAAATTTATTCAAAATATAACTAATAAATTATTGTTTATATAGTTGTTGAGGTAGTATTGCGAGAGGATATCCAAACATAAGTTAGTGTTAGTGGATGTGGTAAGTGATGGACAGGTAATGGGCATGTGTTGGCTGCTGTTGTGGCCACCACTGGATCAGTTGATGATATCAACTAACGTGAGTGTCGACGCACGTGTCCAAAGTGGTTGAACACCCAATCGATGGTAGTGACCAACACCTGTCGACATTGTCTTTGTGTGCCATCGCTGACCATAACCTCCAATCGGGTCCCATATAGTGTGTCCACCCGTTGGCCACCGTTGCCAACGAATCCGATGTTGAATTTCATGTTAGGTGTCTTGAGATCAGTGTCTGTGTTGTTGTTGTGATTGTGTTGACACAACTCCTGTATGTTATTCAATGGTCTGTTGTATTGGTTTTATGTGTCACTTATTTGTACGTAAATTACGTGCGTTTTTAGTGTGTTTTATTTGATACCCCTTTTGTGTGTTTTCTATGAGAACTACATTTGATTAACGATTGAATTAACTTTTATTATTATTAATTGTTTTTATGGTAAATGAATTACCATTTACAAATGTTACGGCATTAGTGCAGATAACTGACATTAGCGCGAATATGAATTATTAAATTTTCAATCGTTTGTTAATGTTGATGATTAAGTAAGAGTTAATAACTTATTTCGTCACTATATATATGAATGAAACACTACATATGCTCTGTAAGTGGTGTTTTATTTTTTATGAGTCATACACTGATAGCGTGATAACATTTATTGCCATACGTTGAACCCAATTATGTGATTGGTATGATTTTTATAATAATTAATCTACAATTAATACTTAAAATAATTATAATTTTAAAAATCTATTTTCCCAAAATAGATTGCCGCTCCCAGACCTTATATTTTCCTTAATTTCCCTCTATTTTCCCTCCCTCCCTCCCGGGAATTTATGGAATTTTGAAATTGTCATGAACATTATTTATATTTCAACAATTATTGTTATCCACAATAGAAACATCTGTCCCACGACTCCCCCGATCGCCGCAAACTGACTGTCAGTATAGTAACTGATAATCCAATCAATGAAAAAGATATCAGAGATCTCAACACCAATGATATGCCGACATCGACTGAAATACCGGTAAAATTGCTAAACATAATAAAAAATTGTATTACAAATCTATAATCTATAATCAATATTTTACGTACAATACAATTTTACATACAATTTAAAAATATTTGTTTTTAATAAATTTAATACTTTAGGAATCGATAATTATTGAAAATATCGCACAATTCAAGACACGTTTTGGTTTGTATTCTCGTCCCAAACCATTCATTGATGTCTTCACTTTTGAAACTAAACATTAATTAATCTAATAATTTGTTTATAAATTCTATATAACTATTATAACTGTATTTACAATAATTATATATAATTTATGCTAAAATAAAGGTACCACAATTTATCATATTTATAGTTTTTTCTTATATTAAATATTATATTTAAATAAATATCTTACATAAATAGTTATGTAGAGTATTACTTACAATACTGTATATGAGATTAAGGTAATATCCATATCAGTTTAATAGTGAAATGCAAACACGTGTGTCCTTAAGAGGGGTGGTTCCACAAAAAGATAGTATAAGTGGTGGAAAAATGAAAATGCGCTTTTATAGTGTAAATGTAAATTAATTATTTCTCCAGTAAATGGTGTTGTCAAAATTTAGATTATATTTTCGTGTAAAAATATAATAATGTAAAATCATTTTGCTATAACCAAAAATTTTGTAGCATTTACCATTGATGACCAGCAAATCTCCGAACATGACCAATTTTCAACATTAATTTTGTAGAAATTAAATAATGTTGTATTTTATTAAACTGTTCTCGGAAAAATCAAAACTATATATGATGAAAATTGTTTAAATTAGTATCAATGATTGTGATAGTTAAAAATTCTTAACTACCATGAACATCGCTTTGATACCCAGCCAATGCTGGCCACTCGTCGGTAGTGGTCAAACTTATATGGGAGACGGATGTCAAAAATATTGGCCTAGAATATGTTCATACAATGTAGATGCGGGAAACAAACAATTTGGGGTCATCTACAAATGACCGGGAAAAGGTACAGGCCAAGTAAATTGGTTTTTGTACGATTTCAATACCGAAAAAACCTACCAAAAAATGCGTTTAAAAAATTAACCAATCAAAATATTTTAAATACGGGGGATATAAATTCTATTCCAACACTACCATATACCCCGATATACCCCCTTTCGATTCCCACCGACTGCTATCATTTCTATTGTTTGTTAGAGTAATGGCATTAAAAGTTGCAGAGGTCCTCAAATCCAGGGTATATTTGTTTAATGCCTAAAAATCAAGTGAATTCATTGAATAGAAAATTGAAAATTTGGTCATATATTGAGTAATAGCTGATGATTATTATGACAATTACACCTTTGCTTAAAGTTAAGTACTTTAAGTATAAAACAATTTTTAGTTCACCCTAACAAACGCATTTTCATTTTTCCAGCACTTATATAATATCATCTTATTTTAGTAAACATAATTAATATTAAAATTTATATATTTAAAAATTATTAATATTTTAGTTTTATAAATAAAATTTAGAAAAATTTTAATATCTATATTCAACAATCAAATTTATTAAATAACACTTTATTAAATTCTTAAATTATTAAATAACGCTTTACTTTTTATATCATTTTGTTCAGAGAAACAGCAGACCTTATAATTCACACAAATTTCGTATATATAAACTTATAAATTAATGCTACAGTATAAAGCCGCTATCTAACGCTAGATAGCTTGTTTTTACAACTAATTTGTAAGTTTATATATACAAAATTTGTGTGAATTATAAGGTCTACTGTTTCTCTGATTTTGTTATTATTTGAGTAATTTTTGCTTAAATTTGATAAAATTTTTTAATCATAATTTTATCAAACGTTTTGAAATAAATCTTACATGATAAAAAACACAAATAATATTTATTCAATTTTTAGATAAATATATGTATATTGTTTGCATTTAATTATCTGTTTTGTTTGTGAGTACTTTTAATAAAAAGTGATCAATAGATTTTTTATGGAAAAGTTTAATTTTATGTAATAATATAATTTTTATAGTACGATATAATGTCTAAATTCATGTTGGCACTTATCTTAAACCAATATAAAGTTTAATAAAGTTTTATATTAAAAATATATGTTTATATAAATATTTTTATTATTAATTTATAAAAATGTTATGATAGTTTTTTAATGCAATGTTCAATGTTTAGTATAAAAATAACCATAATATCTAATGATTACAACATTAATTACTTTCTATGCCCGTGGTAAATATTCCATATACACATACTGTATGTTTAAAAATTAGTTTATATAAATGTTTGCAAAATTTAATTAAAACCAGTTTTGTGTTATTGTAGAAAAATTGGTAGATTGAAGGGAATAAATTTTTTTATTAAAATTTGCAAAAAAAATTGCAAATTATTTTATTGTAGATTTAATATTATTAAACATAAATATATTACAAAAAACAATGTGTGCTTTAAATCTAACCAACGATTCAGTGGCCGAAAGCTATGAGAGTATAGTTAAGCCAAACGATGATAAACGCGATTATAAGGCAATCGTATTAACAAATGGTCTGAAAGTATTGCTTATTAGCGATAGAGAGACCGATAAGAGTGCGGCCGCTCTCACTGTTGGCGTCGGCTCTATGAGTGATCCCCGGGATGTCCAGGGATTGGCTCACTTGACTGAGCGAATGCTTTTCTTAAGCACCAGGAAATACCCCGATGACAATGATTTCCAGAATTACATTGCTAATAATGGGGGCACATTTACCTCGTGTACTCCCGAAACATTTACCGGCTATTCATTTGATATCTCGACTGAGTGTTTTGCCGAAGCACTTGACAGGTATTTAATTAATTTTTGAATATATATAATATATATATTTTTTTGTTAATTATGTTAAACATATAAATGAATAGATTCTCGCAGTTCTTCGTTGAGCCGCTTTTCACGGAGAGTGCGACCGATCGGGAGATAAATGCCGTCCAATCGGAGTACGAGAGAAATGTAGCAATGGATTGGCAGCGGGAATATTACCTTGATAAATTCCTATCAGATTCCAAACACGATTATTGCAAATTCTCTGGTATTTTGTACTTTAAAATCAATTATTTTATTAAATTAATTTTTTAATTTAAAGGTAATTTGGAGTCACTTAAAGCAATTCCGGTGGCAAAAGGGATTAATGTTAGACAAGAGTTGCTATCATTTCACGATCGCTGGTATTCAGCAAATATCATGTCTTTAGTTGTTTTGGGCAAAGGTTTGCATTAAAGTTTACAAAAAGAATTAATTATTTATTACAGCATTTGTTTGAATCGCAGAAAGCATTAATTCATTGGAAGAAATAGTGATTCCGTTATTTTCAGTGATTAAACACAAGAGTGGAGTAACTCTTCCCAAATGGCAGACAAACCCATTGACCGCCGATTGGCTGCGGAAACAGTGTTTTGTGGTTCCCGTTATTGATGAGCGCAAACTTACGATTACTTTTCCTATTGAAGATATGTCACAATACTATCGGTATTTTAATTTATAATTAAATTTTAAATGATATTAAAATATTAAAATATTTTTTGAGTTTAGATCAAAACCCGACGAATATTTGGCAGAACTGATCGGACACGAAGGTCGGGGCGGTTTGCTATCGGAGCTGAAGGCCCGGCACTGGTGTACACAGCTCTACATGTGGTCGTATTGCGGTTTATACAGAGGTTTTTCATTTTTCAATATATGCGTCGATTTGACTGAAGAGGGTATTAACCGCACCAACGATATCATTGCACTCGTGTTTCAATACATAAATTTGCTTAAAGTATACATTGTTTTTAATAATTGAATGTTATTTTTAATTAGGTATTTATTTATGCAGAATGAGGGCCCAAAACAGTGGGTTTTTAATGAATTGAAACAACTTAGTAATATTGAATTTCAATTTAAGCCCAAAAATGAACCAGGTTGGATTGTGCAGAATTTGGCTTATATACTTCAAGTTATTATAAATTATTTGCTAATTTAATATTAAATTATTGTATAATTTATTTATAACTGTTTTATATTTTAAAAGTTCTTTCCGATTAACGATTGTCTTTCGAGTTATCATGTGATGGATGAGTACAGACCAGAACTGATCGCACAATTGCTCAATGAGTTGAGCGCCGATCGGATGCGAGTGAGAGTTGTGGGCAAACAGTTTGAGTCAATCTCCGATCGGACGGAGCGATGGTATGGAACCAAATACTCACTCCAAGACATTCCTCCGGAGAAGATTCAGTTGTGGCTAAACATCGGACTCAACGATCGTTTAGCACTTCCGCCGCCCAATGACTTCATTCCCTATAATCTAAACGTCAAACCAATTGAAGACATCAATCAAACAGAGCCTCAAATGATTAGAAACACAGAGTTTTCTCGGATTTGGTATTTACAGGACTTTGAATTCAAAATACCAAAAGCCAGCTATAGTTTTACTCTAACAAAGTATTGATTTTACTGATATAATTTTAAATTATACCCAAAATAATGATAAACATTATTTATAGTCCACTCATATCTGAACATCCCTTTAATAAAAACGCCGCCAAACTCTTTACACAATTATTCCGGGATTCAATCAGTGAAGAGATATCTGCGGCAAAATTGGCACAATTTTGGGTTCATATCTACTCAACGGATAATGGGATTACTGTTAGAAACATTATTATTAATACAAATTTTGATTAATAATTGTATTTATTCATAGATTTTCATTGACGGCTATAACGATAAACTAAATACTTTGCTCGACATTGTTGTCAACAAATTAATTACTTTTAAAATTGATCCCAAAATGTTTGATATAATCAAAGATATATACATACATGATCTGAAAAATAGCCATGGTGATCAGATGGTACAACTGCTGGGGAGGAATATGTTAAACATAACCACTGATCGTATTTGGACTGACGAAGAGCTCATACAAACTGTCGATGACTTGACTATCGATAATGTTTCACAATTTAAGGATCAATTTCTATCCCGTTTTCATATCGAGGCCTTTATCTATGGAAATGTACTCAAAAGTGAAGCCATCGCTGTTTGCGATTCATTTGAACACAAATTCAAGTCTCAGCTCAAGACTAAACCCATCGCTCTTTCGCAGCACTTCTTGAATCGTGAGATCCATTTGACTGAAGGATCCAATTATGTGTTTGAAACCAAGACTTCAGTCCATATGATAAATGGCATTCAAGTCTATTATCAAATCAGTGTTAAAAACAACAGAACTATTGCATTAACAGAATTATTGAAACAAATAATAAAACAACCATTTATTGATGTAATGACTAATAAACAACAGTTGGGAAACTTTGTAGGAATATCTGTTGGCGGTGAACGTGGTGTTTGTGGTATATTTATTAATTTATTGTAATTATATGTATTATTTATTAATAATTTATATTTATTAATAGGAATCAAATTTTTCATTGAATCTGATTATAAGCCGAGTTTTCTAAACGAGAGAATCGAGGCTTTTATTCAATGGATTCACAAATATATGGAAGACATGAATGAAACAGATTTTGAGACTCAAAGACAGGCATTGATTACTAGAAAACTTGTGAAACCGATAAATATTTACACAAAATTTAAGAAAATTTTGAATGAAATTGAATCAAAAGAATGTAATTTCAATCGACAGGAGTTTGAAGTAAATGCTATTAAAGAGCTTTCAAAACAAGATATCATTCACTTCTTTAAGGTATTATTTATTTGATTAAATTTCTGTTATCTCTAATTTATATGTTAACTATTCAATAGAAACATCTGTCCCACGACTCCCCCGATCGCCGCAAACTGACTGTCAGTATAGTGACTGATAATCCAATCAATGAAACGGATGGAAAAGATGTCAACACCGATGATATGCCGACACCGACTGAAATAGTGGTACATTTAAATTAAATATATTATTAATAAATATAATTTTGTAATCAACTAAATTCTATAGGAATGGACACGAATTGAAAACATAACCCAATTTAAGGCACAATTCGGTCGCTATTCGGGTACAGAGTGTGGCCACGGGATGGATATTCCTGTGTTAGATTGTGTCAATGCTGCCAATGGCTACAGACAACGGAGTTTAAGCCTTTCCACTCATCAATACAGGGCTTAAAGCATAATATTTTTTGCGACTGACATTACACATGTCACATATGAATGATTATTTTTAATACACTAATTGAAAATAACAATAGGGGGCCGAACGATTCTATAAACTATATTTCCTTATATGAATTGTGATTAAGGAATTTGTATTTGGCTATCGGATGGACCAATAGAATTATTGTACATTTTTTGTTACAATATTTAACTTTAATTAAACAATAAATGATAATAAAATTATAAGATAAATGTTAACCAGAAATTTAATATTTTTATTGTAATCATGAGTGTTTGTTTTCAATGGTTTTATTGATTATTATATCTAATTTTTGAGTGTTTTATGCATAGTTATATTAATTTATTAAAATTTAGTGTCTATGGTTATAATCAAAGAGATATTACCATTAACATCCAGGCTACATAATTCTAGTCAATAGGATGTATTGTAATAATGAATTATGGTAATTCATAGTTTAACTTTGGTTAATAGCTTTAATGTTTCATTATTTTGGTTATNTATTTTGGTTATTACTAATTGGTTAATAATCATCATACAGTATACCCTCGCACATAAAAAGGTGCGAGTGTCACATATGGGTCACCTACGGCTGGTGAAGGATATTACATTTAAAATGTTATACAGTAATTATAATAAGTTTAGTAGTTTTAAAATATTTTTACTTTTATAAGAATTGTGAAAAATTATAAATTGATTATATTGTTTAATTAGACAAAAAAAAATTAAATATTTATTTAAACAAGTAATAAATATTCTATTATAACATCTAAAAATATTGAGAATATAATTCTACGTTATACTGTATATGAAACAATACACATTTTTGCCATATGTCAGCAAATAATTATGTATCCAAAATATGTTTAACAATACTATTTATTAGTAATAAAATAAATTAATATTTATAATTATTTAAATAAAATATTATTTCGCTTTGTTTAGATTTGTTTCAAAATCATTTTAATTCTTAATTAGTTCAATCGTTACAATATAACCATGCTCATTTTGAGCACGCGGTCTCTTTATCCCTGTTGAAGCGACATTCGCCGCTACCGTAATTCATGTCAATTAAGCCACGGGCTATATAATATATAGACTGCTGCACCGTTTGATACTCACTGGGCGTGCAATCCACCTAAACAAGACACAACAATTAACTTGATAATTAATTCATTAATTAATTTATAAGGCTAAAAATTACCTTGCCCACTGTGTTATAACAGTCTAATAGGACCCAATCGTAGCAACACTTGTATTTTTGGTCGGTGATGGTCGGGTCATAATTAGGTATAGTCTGCTTAATACAGGCCACTATGTGGGGACTGGTAGGCGTTACACAGCCATTAGGCACCAAAGATTGGGCCGATCTTATGCCACTACTAGCCATCATAATTACAGATAAAAATACAACCAGGTACATTTTCGATATAATTTATTCTTTGTAGTGTTCAAAATGAATATTAAATATTTAAACAGGTTAGCCTTATATATAGTGCTTTTATAAAGTACACTTTGACCAAGTTCCTGTTTGTAATAAAATTATTAAATCCAGGTGATTGAGATAAATTAAGGAAATAAATAGACATAGATAATACTGTATCATGCACATTTTTAGTTCCCATATAATGTTTAATGTTATATGTTTATTGATAATTATTATTAAACAATAATTGTGTATCCGTAATAAACCTGTTATATGGTACATGTTCAATGGACACTATACAAGTAATTTAATTATAAAAATTGTATATAATTTATGCTATTATAAAATGAGTATTTCCACAAAAAAATTATTTAATATATATAATAGTTAGTCATTAATTGGTATTATTACAACTTGAGAGATGGGTGACAAAAAATGGGCCTGTGTGTTTTTAATGCTGCAAACTAAAATTCATCATTTTAAACAATAGACGATTTACTACATAAAATATTTACTAGTTGGTTTTAAATGTTTCATTTTTCAGTGTAATTGTTTTAAATTTTAATATAAATTTGCAATCTTGTTAATAGTTATATAAAATAAAAGTGTAAAAGTATAATGACGTATAAGGTAATAAATATTTTGACCAAAATACATCACGGGGTATTTTATATAAATTTTCATAGATTATGGTTATGCTACAATAAATGGGAATTCTTTGTTGTAATTTCAATTTTGTTGATAGAATTTATGTCTGAAAATAAAGCATTTCAATTGATAACAAAAGTAATTTTTGTGATTAAGTATTATTTAGTATAATAAATGATAAAATTAATATCAATTTGTTGATTTCTAAAAATTTATACTGTGTTTGAATATAAATATAAATTAATATAATTTTTTAAAATATTTATACTTTTGCGATAATTTATTGTAATATTAATAATTTGTTATAATATAAATTAAATATTTAATAAATCAAACTGTTTATAATACGTGGGAATGAATTGCTATCATGTTAAGGCAATACATGATAATTTTGGTGATGAATTGAATAATGTTTATAATTGTATTTCAAGAGAGTATAATCACTATTCACGATTATGATTAAATATATTTCACTATTAAATATACTGATAAATCAATGATAATGCAGTATTACCATAATTCCCATACATGATTACTAATATTTGTTGCATATATTGTAGAAATTACTTGTAATAATAATATATTTAAGTAAATGTTTTATATTACTATTAAATAATTCTTTAAGTTTTATTTTTTAAAAATTATTAATTATAAAATAAATTAAATATTATTACTTTTGGATCAAAAATATAAATTTTATAAAAGTAAAATAATGTCTGCTTTAAATTTAACCAACGATTCAGTGGCCGAAAGCTATGACAGTATAGTTAAGCCAAACGATGATAAACGCGATTATAAGGCAATCGTATTAACAAATGGTCTGAAAGTATTGCTTATTAGCGATAGAGAGACCGATAAGAGTGCGGCCGCTCTCACTGTTGGCGTCGGCTCTATGAGTGATCCCCGGGTTGTCCAGGGATTGGCTCACTTTGCAGAGCACATGCTCTTCTTGGGCACCAAGAAATACCCCGATGACAATGATTACTTCAAATATATCACTAGTAATGGCGGCTTTGCTAACGCTTATACAGCGCAATCAAACACCACGTATTACTTTGATATCTCTACTAATTATATCTCGGAAGCTCTCGATAGGTATAGTAATGTAATTTTGTGGACACAAAACAAAGATTTTAAAATTAAAAACAATTACTTTAAACAAATCGTAAACTTTCTATGAATGAATAGATTCTCGCAGTTCTTCGTTGAGCCGCTCTTCACAGAGAGTGCGACCGATCGGGAGATAAATGCCGTCCAATCGGAGTACGAGAGAGATCTACCATTAGATGTGTGGCGTAACTATCAGTTGGATAAGACACTATCGGATCCCAATAACGACTACAATAAGTTTTCAATTGGTATTTTACCTTTAATTGTATTTTAATCTTGATCATGTATTGTTTATAATAATTTTTATGATTTGTATTGATAGGCAATATAGAGTCACTTAAAGAGATTCCTTTGAAGAATGGGACTAACGTTAGACAAGAGTTGCTGTCATTTCACGATCGCTGGTATTCAGCAAATATCATGTCTTTAGTTGTTTTGGGCAAAGGTTTGCATTAAATTATAAGAAAACAATTATTTATTATAACATTTGTTTGAATCGCAGAAAGCATTAATTCATTGGAAGAAATAGTGATTCCGTTGTTTTCAGTGATTAAACACAAGAGTGGAGTAACTCTTCCTAAATGGCAGACAAACCCATTGACCGCCGATTGGCTGCGGAAACAGTATTTTGTGGTTCCCGTCAAAGACAAGCGCTCTCTTAACATAGCGTTTCCCATAACAGATATGTCCGCGCATTACAGGTAACCATAGATTATAATTAACTGCGAAATCAAACAAATACAATAAAACAAAAACAATGATCAAAACTATAGGTCAAAACCGTTCCGCTATTTGGTATACCTTATCGGACACGAAGGTCGGGGAAGTTTGCTGTCGGAGCTGAAGGCCAACAACTGGTGCACCACTTTGACCGCCGGAAACCTACTTTGGTGGCCAACAGTGGGCATAGAATTTGATTATTTTTATATAGATGTTGACTTAACCGATGATGGAATAAATCATACTGATGATATTATTATCTTAATATTTCAATATATTGCTATGCTTAAGGTATTTGGATCACAGTGCCTGTTATCGCAAAGTTGTTTTACAAATGATTTATTAAATTTTTGTTTATAGAGTGAAGGAATTAAACAATGGATTTGGGATGAAATCAAACAAATGCTTGAAATTGATTTTCATTATCAAGATAGATCACAACCAATTAATTACGTGTTAAGTTTGGCCGATAAGTTGTTGGTATGAAAAATTGATTGAATGTTTTTGCAAAAGTCGTATTGAAAAATATTGTGCTTTTTTATAAAAGTTATACCCGATTGAAGAGATATTGCGTGTGTCTTATCGTATGGATGAGTACAGACCAGAACTGATCGCACAATCGCTCAATGAGTTGAGCGCCGATCGGATGCGAGTGAGAGTTGTGGGCAAACAGTTTGAGTCAATCGCCGATCAGACGGAGCGATGGTTTGGAACCAAATACTCACTCCAAGACATTCCTCCGGAGAAGATTCAGTTGTGGCTAAACATTGGACTCAACGATCGGTTAGCACTTCCGCCGCCCAATGACTTCATTCCCTATAATCTAAACGTCAAACCAATTGAAGACAACAATCAAACAATACCTCAAATGATTAGAAACACAGAATTTTCTCGCATTTGGTATTTACAGGACTTTGAATACAGAAAACCTAAAGCCTATTATGCGTTCAAATTAACAAAGTATTACTTTATATGAATATAATATTTCCAAAAGTAATAATATTCATTTAATCTATAGTCCCATTGTATCTGACAATCCGCTCAATGAAAACATGGCCCAACTCTTCACCCGATTATTCCGGGATTCAGTCAATGAGTACTTATATGCGGCAGAAATGGCTGGGCTTTGGTTTAGCATGAGCTCAGGTCTCACAGGCATTACTGTAAGAAAGCGATTGAATTAAACATTAATTAAATAAATTATTTGCAGATATATTTTGGCGGATATAATGACAAATTGAATGCTTTGGTGACCACTATATTGGATCAATTGATTACATTCAAAATTGATTCCAAAAAATTTGAAGTATTTAAAGATATATACGTACGTGATCTGAAAAATCGCCATGCTAATGCTATTGCACAAATACTGTCAATCAATATGTATAACATAACGGCTGACCGCGTCTGGACTGATGAAGAGCTCATACGAACTGTCGATGACTTGACTGTCGATAATGTCTCCCAATTTAAGGATCAATTTGTGTCCCGTTTTCATATCGAGTCCTTTATCTATGGAAATATACTCAAAAGTGAAGCCATCGATGTTTGCGATGCATTTGAAGGCAAATTCAAATCTCAGCTCAAGACTAAACCCATCGCTCTTTCGCAGCACTTCTTGAATCGTGAGATCTATTTGACTGAAGGATCCGATTATGTGTTTGAGACCAAGACTTCAGTGCATAAAACAAATGGCATTAAAATCTATTATCAAATCGGAGTCAGAGATACGAAGACTAATGGGTTGTTAGGACTCTTACAGCAAATTTTAAAACAACCATTTTTTGACAAATTACGGACTAAACAGCAATTGGGTTATGTTGTCTGGGCATACATTAGAGGGGCTAACGGTGTTTGCGGTTCGTATATCTAAAAATATTAAATATTTCTTTACCTCCTTTAAGCAAACCTTTTTAATAAAATTATTTCTATATTAACAATAAAATGAATTATTTGTGGTATATTTTAGGCATGAGTTTTCTCATTGAATCCGATTATAAGCCGAGTTTTCTAAACGAGAGAATCGAGGCTTACATTCAATGGTTTACCAAATATATTGAAGACATGAATGAAACTGATTTCGAGACTCAAAGACAGGCATTGATTACCAGAAAACTCGTGAAACCAAAGAATTCATGGGATAAATGCTGGACTCTTTGGGCTGAAGTTATGTCCAAAGAGTATAATTTCAATCGAGAGGAGATTGAAGTGAAGGCTATTAAAGAGATTACAAAACAAGACATCATTGACTTTATGAAGGTCTAAAAATTGACTAAAATTAACATTATTTAAAAAGTTTTATTTTAATCACAAACAGAAACATTTGTCCCACGACTCCCCCGATCGCTGCAAACTGACTGTCAGTATAGTAACTGATAATCCAATTAATGAAAAGGATGGAAAAGATTGTAACACCGATGATATGCCGACACCAACTGAAATACCGGTGAATTTAAGTTTTATTAATTTTTTAATTAAAATCATTTTTAAATAAACCATATTCTATAGGAGTGGACACGAATTGAAAACATAACTGCATTTAAGGCACAATTCGGTCGCTATTCTCGTCCCAAACCAATGATCGATGTTTTTCCTATTGATTTCAAAAACTAAAAATTACAAAAATTTATTAAACAAATATTTGTTATTGTTATTTGTACCAAAACTATGCATGAATAAAATACTTTTAACAAATATTATAGCTATTGAATACAATACTAAACTGAACATGATAAGTGAAGGGAAGTAAATACAACAAATAAAGTTAATTTTATTAATATAAACATTTTGGTTAATATCAGTTAAAAATATACCATTATTTGACCAAATTATTTATTAAAACAATCTATTGTTTTTTACATGTTTGTTAAACTTGGTTGACATTTGAAATACACCATGAATCATTTATTTACAATATAAATCATTCCAGACTTTGGGATATTTATCACTAATCCATTTGTTACGGCTGTCAACGCAATCGATGGTCCGATCGTAGACTGTATTCAACGCATTGTCGGCCAAAAAACTGCCAAAAACTTCTTGATCTAAACGGCGGACAGAATTCGCGTCCAATGAGAGAGAGAGAGAGAGAGAGAGAGAGAGAGAGCTCATATGGGTTTAGCTTGGCTATTCATGTTACATGTAATATAGAATTTATATTGTAAATCAATCAAAATAATAATAATGCATCTCACAGCATCGTCAGTAACCTTAAAAATAGTATAAAAGCTAAGGCAACAACAATTTTACAATTATTGACGAAGCTCATTCATATAACTTCACACCATAAGTAAATAGTTCTTAAAAATTATTATTTATATTTAAACTCATATCTCCAATTATGATGCATAGTAAAAGTATGCGTTAATTATATAAAATGACATGACATATTTATTAAATGTAGTATTAAAATTAATAATTTTCATCTAGGTTACCTACTGGTGTTCGTAGCATTATTTAACTTAGCTTTGGCGGATAAAGGATGCCCTAGCACATTACCAGCGATTAAATCACCATGCTTATACGAGGGATACGACACCGGGTGTAGTATTGTATGCGATGGCGACAAAAACATAAACATTGGGCCCATATTTGCTGACTTGAAACCCAAACTACCGGCAAATACGCAAACCTTCACCCGATTTAAGCTCAACAGCTCAGCCATAGAGGAACTGCCGGCCAATGTGTTCAGTGGCGTCCCCTTCGCTAAGATACACATCCAAAACGCTTACGGCTTAAAGCGTGTCCACAGAGAGGCCTTCAAAGGCACCGAAGACACCATCGAAGTGATCAATATCTCCAACAGTCCGGTCGGGGAACAGGTTGTCGGCGATTGGGATCTGTTCAGTGCCATCCGATCGGTAAAGGGTTTGCGAGATCTCGTGATGTCCACCACTGCCCTAACATCCCTGCCCTCTATGGCCATATCTAATTTGTCCAAACTGAGCACGGTGGAAATACTCTACCACCGCGTACAACCCGTGTCCACCCATGCTTTCCACAATCTACCGTCGCTACAGTCGATTGCCATCCGATACGGTCGACTCGAGTTTAGAGAACACGCGTTTACGGTTGGCGCCGGTGCTAATAGCCGGTCGTTGAGTATTTATTTTCCCGACGAATCGCTGTCCGACAACTCGTTTACTAAAGCGGTGTTCGACGGTATCGGACGGCCGACCACTATATCATTGGACGCGAATTCTGTCCGCCGTTTAGATCAAGAAGTTTTTGGCAGTTTTTTGGCCGACAATGCGTTGAATACAGTCTACGATCGGACCATCGATTGCGTTGACAGCCGTAACAAATGGATTAGTG